TGGGAAGTGTCAGACCAATAAACATCTTCTTTTCAGAAAATTGAAGTATTGCTTTCCCGGAATAAATTTGAACAAGGCGAAGATCACTAGAGTAGCAGAATTTACTGACGTCATAAAACTTCGTGACCTCTTATTCAGCTGCAGACGGTATTTGCCTATTAATAAGAGAACTAACTGTCGAAGGGTGAAACTTGACAGATAAAGGGAGTTGAAACAATTAGTCATAGATGTGGGCGCATGGTGAATGGTAGAGGACGGGGGGGGTGTCAGGCAATTGTCACAGCACGGCAGTTTATGTTAGTGCAGTCACTTAATTGGACAGTTAATTCTCTTATTAATAGGCACCGACCGTCTGCAGCTGAATGAGGGGTCACAACATTTTATGACGTCAGTAAATTCTGCTAATCTAGCGATCTTCGCCTTGTTCAAACATCTTCTTCTTTTGCACTGCTTTCTACAACTCGCATGTTCTCTTCAAGTATAGTTACGGAAAGTCAGTCAATCTCCTAGAGCACATTCACACTAGAGTTTTTTTGCGGAAATTGACGTTTTCATTATTGTCAAAAGGTGGAGGTGAGGGGAGAATAGTGAATTTAATGCGTGATTTGATTGTTGCCTGAAGGGGCGTAGTCTAATATCCTCAGTTTTTTTTAATGTCAACCTAAAAGTATCGTTAATGTCTCAAGTCACTTCCAGCGCTTTTTGAATGGCGCAAAATGTTTCGCACTCTTGTGACGCACATTTATGAAACGCTGGCAGTAAGCGAAATCTTCAGTCAGACTTTTAAAAGATAGGCCCAAATGCAGACCTGTTGTCAAGACGCTTTTTGCCTAAGTAAACTGCGTTTAATATCGGAATATACGGGGGATCTGTATAGGGGAAGAATTTAGCCAGAGCTTTGAAATGAACAGCTGTTCGAATTTTGTAGCAAAATTCGGCCCCTTTACGGAATTGGAAAAGGAAACTTATACAGGTGAAGTGAACGCGCGCGCTTGCGAGGAAAAGTAGTTTGAATTGGCGTGTCGGCGACAAAGGGAACTGGAAGGAAGCAGTGCCTTTGGCGATGAGATTAGTAATCAGTGACTGTATTTTCATTGGCTGGTCGTTTAACGCCCTAAAAGGCCAATAGCTAGCTGCAAGTCAAGCATTTAGATGCAGTACTCAATCCAACTTCTGACTAGCCATCAGTAACGAGCAGCCTATCAACGGAAAATTGTTTAAATTCCTTTAACGAAAAGACATGACTTCTAAGTGTCCCTAGACAATGTCAAATCGCCATCAGCCTATTTCCAGCAGTTACTAAAATTAGCAATATAAGTGAATATTATTGTTTTTATAGTTCCACTCAAAAGGTGATAAACGACCGATCTTGTAGCCCTACGAAACAAGCGTGTACTTTTAGAGGCTAGGATCTAGCTGAAAATAACTTTGGCAACGCCAACCCTTTTTTGATCTACTCCGCTGCTGAGTTGTTCGCTACCTACTTAACCGCCTCCCCCCCCACATAGA